GCATTGTAATTGTAGGGGTCCTGACCCAAAAAGGAGTTGGGGGGTCACAAAGTTATTGTAGGGAGGGTTTTGCAGTACTGCTACCTTTACTTCTGTGCAGTTGCTGGTGGCAGCACTGCCTTCAGAGCTGGGCAGCCTGAGAGCAGCGGCTGCTGGCCAGGATCCCAGCTCTGAAGGCAGAACCTCTACCAGAAGCAGCACAAAAGTAAGGATGGCCTGGTATGTGTGACAGCTTGGATCACAGAAAGCCCCTTGGGAACTGCTAACTTGTAAATTCCATCCTATTCAAATTATGACCTGATACTTGGTAACGGTGTTTAGATGGTTTTGTTTATTGTTCGCCCTTTTGTTTTGTAAAGAAGAAGTAGGCCGCCATGTTGGAAAGGAAAGAATAGGCGGGAAATCTAGTAGCTAGTTGCTAGGCAACAGAAGGATTATATAGGCTGGGAAAGAGCGGGAAGGCATTGCTTCTCCTTTTGCTCTCACCTTGGAAGGAAGGGAAGCGATCAGACACCAGTTATCTGCCTATTTAACAGCTCACCTCGGAAGGGAAAAAATTTAGATTATTGTTGGGGTTTATTATTTGAAGGGAAGCATCCATCCATCCATCGGGTTCTACCTCGAGTGGTTAGGGCTCTCACCTGCAGACAGGACGTCGCAAAGGGGTTAGGGTGGAAAGTTAGTTGGGCCTCTCACCTGAATCATCGTCATTCATCGCCTTTATCCGCTGCGGTAGCTGTTCCAGTGGTGATCATGGTCCAGAGAGTCGTCATCATCTATTGAGTCCCGGTCTCAGCAGCAGCTCCTGGACAGGGTAGAGAGAGCAGTTATCACTCATCCCGTTGTAATTCCTGTGTGAAAGAGTGCATGGTTGTTAATCTGTTCAGTATTATTAATCCTTCCTTTCATTCCTTTGTTCATCCCATTCCTTTTCCCCCAATGAATAAAAGTTTGGTTGTTTCACTTGTGGTTTCTGTAATGATTTTATATAATCTCTGATAGATAAGCTACACTGAGGGAATCTTGGGAGACTTCTGTTTGCTCCCCTCAGTTTTCTGAAAGTAGGATCCTGAAATAAACAACAAAAACTAACAAACTGATGTCTCAAGACTACTTCTGCCCCTGCTTTCCTGCCTGGCATCTTAGGACTTCAGAGCCCTGCCTGATTTGAGCCAGACCTGCTAGCCTGCTGCAAACCCAGGCCCAGGTCTGAACCACATCCCCTAACAGCTGTAGACTTAACTGAAAGCAACTTACAGAAGTGTTCCTGAATTTAACACTCAGATGCCCAACTCCCAATGGGGTCCAATCCCTAAATAAATCCTTTTTACCCTGTATAAAGCTTGTACAGGATTAACTCATAAATTGTTCGCCCTCTGTAACACTGATAAAGAGATACGCACAACTGTTCCCCCGCCCTCCCAGGTATTAATACATACTCTGGGTTAATTAATAAGTAAAAAGTGATTTTATTAAATACAGAAAGTAGGATTTAAGTGGTTCCAAGTAGTAATAGACAGAACAAAGTGAATTACCAAGCAAAATAAAATAAAACATGCAAGTCTAAACCTAATACAGTAAGAAAACTGAATACAGATAAAATCTCACCCTCAGAGATGTTTCAGTATGCTTCTATCACAGACTGGACGCCTTCCAGTCTGGGCACAATCCTTTACCCTGGTACAGCCCTTGTTCCAGCTCAGGTGGTAGCTAGGGGATTTCTCATGATGACTCTGCTCCTTCTTCTGTTCCACCCACTTATATATCTTTTGCATAAGGCGGGAATCCTTTGTTCCTCTGGGTTCCCACCCCTCCTTCTCAATGGAAAAACACCAGGTTAAAGATGGATTCCAGTTCAGGTGACATGATCACATATCACTGTAAGACCCCAAGCCTTTATTCCTCCCAGCCTGACTCACAGGAAGGCCTGCCTGCAAACAGAGCCATCCACAGTTAATTGTCCTGGTTGACGGGAGCCATCAAGATTCCAAACCACCATTAATGGCCCACACTTTGCTTAATTATAATAGGCCCTCAGAGTTATATTTCATATTTCTAGTTTTAGATTCAAGAGTGATACATTTATACAAATAGGATGACCACACTCAGTAGATTATAAACTTTGTAATGATACCTTACAAGAGACCTTTTGCATGAAGCATATTTTAGTTACATTATATTCACACTCATCAGCATACTTTCATGAAATCATATATAGAGTGCAACGTCACAGTATGGTATTGCCACCCTTACTTCTGCTCTGCTGTCTGCAGAGCTGGGCCTTTAGTCAGCAGCCGCCACTCTCTGGCCATCCAGCTCTAAAGGCAGCAGTGCATACCATACCATGCCATCCTTACTTCTGCACTGCTGCTGGCGGGTTGCTGCCTTCAGAGCTGGGTGCTCGGCCAACAGCCGCCGCTCTCCAGCCAACCAGCTCTGAAGGCAGCTCAGAAGTAAGGATGGCGATACCGTGACTCCCCTGCAACTCCCTTTTGGGTCAGGACCCCCAATTTGAGAAACATTAGTTTCCCCTGTGAAATCTGTATAATATAGGGTAAAAGCACACAAAAGACTAGATTTCATGGGGGAAGACCAGATTTCACAGTCCATGACATGTTTTTCCTGGCTCTGAATTTGGTAGGGTCCTAGGAATAGGTATTGTGGTTGGTGCATGGTTTTCTGAAATAAAGTGATGAAAAAGGTATGAGGATGCAAAAATGAAGCTGCTGTCTGTGTGAATATTATGCTGTTTGTTTCAACCTCTCGTGGGTTGTATGCTTAAAATCCATGTGATAAGTGCCTTTTGGAATAAACAATTTCTGCTGGCATATATGAATCTGATAGTCTGTTTTGTTAACTAGCTTTTGATAGTTATATATAGTATTTTCTATTTGCTCCTTAAGATGATGTTTTTAGTTGTGAAATCTGGAGTACATGCTGTACTTTGTGAATGAATATTATACAGCATAGATGAATCCCTGGAAAAATTCAGGGTGGGTGGAGAGCTATGTGATCAGAAGAAACGCCTTCTCACTTCCCTTTTAATCTCTTCTCTTCCTGTTTTTCCTTCCCTCCCCTAGTGCTTTTCGAACTGCTCAGTTCATTGTTAAGTGGTGGGATTGTGACATCAGAGGTAACTCAACCTTCTCTTCTCTCCCTCCCATTTTTCTCTGCTGCTGCCCTGCCGTCAGGTCGCAGTCAATGGTGGGATTGGGGCATTAGTGATAAATAGGTGACATGGGAGTATCATCTTTTACAGAACCTTCTACTTTATTGTGCAATTTTCAGTTGTTATTGTTATCCCTTTGGTAGACCAGTTTGATTGAAAATAAATTGGCAGCTTGAGGCTCAAACAGACCATACACTCCACATGAGGCATCTGCTGAGACTGACTTGTTATGTAAGGTTATTTACTTAACCATTTAATCTAACTAGTGAGCTCCAAAATCACATGGCTCAAAGTGCAACTAAAACTAGCTTTGGGGATTTCCAATCACAGGTAATTCCTTTCTCTGTTTCCTTGTTTACTTTTCTCAGCAGGAATCCTGTATGCCTGTTTCTTTAGTCTATTTAATTTTTTATTTCACTTTGATTCAGTTTTTTCTTCTTAGTATTCACTGCTAGCCCAATTTTTCTGCAGGTCTTCACTCTGTTCTTTGAATGTCTAGTTTCCTGCGGTTGAAGGGTATTTTTATCTAGTAATTGACGTACACTTTTGCCCTTCCAGATCTTGTCACTGTGTCTGCGATTCTTGTACAGCCTTTCATTAAGTTCACTTATTCACCAAGTAACATTTTATATTTGGTAACCTCTCATTAGCTTGTACCTGAACCACTGCTGGAATTGAGCTAGCAGATATAGGAGGACCTACTTTCATTTCGTCTGTCCTCTAAAGGAGAGAGAGGCTAGCATAATTCCAGTGCACATTACACAAAGCAAATTAAGAAATTCTGACCATTCATTCTTGATTAATGAGTATTCTCTTTGCCAATGGTTCATTCAATTAAATCTGAAGAAGTGTTTTTTAATAAATACTTCAAGAGACAGAAAGCACCCACTAGTTCCTGTAATACTGTTCTATACAATCTGGCTGCATTTTGTGTATAAACTGTGATTGAGATTAATGGAAGATGATTCTGAATCACATTTAAACTAAGCTCCTTTATCCTGCTAGCGAGGTGTAAAGAAGCTCTGTGTAAATGACAATTAGGCCCAATGTGTCTAAACCTTAACCTGTATATTATAATTTCTTGCAAATCATATCCCAAAATTACTAGGGTTAAATAGTACAAGACATAATACAGTATATACACTCAAAAACAAAAATAAAGCCAGTACTTTTGGGGGATAGAGAATTTCAGAGATATGGGTGTGAAAAAAATAAATTGAGATGAGAATTGAGGAGGGATAGATTCAGGAGATTTATTCTAGAGATCTGGAGCTGCAGTTCAGAACGCCATAGCACTGACTGTGATGAGATTGTGTAAAGTAGGGAGGTGGCTAGCACTGTTATGAGAAATGGTGAAAGACGTATTGAAATACACAGGGAGAAAAGGAATGAGGAAAAGAGAAAGGGCAAGATATCAGAGAAGTAGGGAGAGGTATTGAGTTATTGTTACAGATTAGGGAAATAATAGCATGAAAGAAGGAAGCCAGTGCTTGGCAGAGAAAAGAATGCAAGTAAAGAGTGAGTTGGATAGGTGACAGATTACCATTTAGAAGACTGACAGCTATATTCATCCTCCCTATTCTGTACTAAGGATGCAATAAATATTCTTTCTTCCTGTGCTGTTGTGGCCTATGCAGTGCTACATAAATGGTAACATCCTTCATAACTACAGAACAAAATAATATGTTTCCCTTTCACACTCAAGAAGTGTTCTAGATGCAAGATACCTGTGATGACAATCCTATTTCTTGTTATACACTCAGAATATCTGAAGTGTGTTTCCCATAGATAAAAACTATTTGAAATTATCTTGTTTCAATTTCTTATATAGGCGCCATCATTGCCCTCATAAATCCACAAGGATTTATGATACTGGAGGACAAGCTTGCCTCATGACAGAATACATGGACAAATATCCCCAGTATGGTAATCTCCCTCCACCCCAGAGTCTTAAGCCAAAGGAGGAGTACCAAACACATCATGGAAGAATGGAAGGAATCACTACATTTAAGTAAATATTTTGTTTTGGAGCTGATGTTGTTCTACAGTGTCCTCGTATTTTTTCATTTAGGGAAGACAGCTCTGTTTATTGGAATCATTTTCCATTGTGAAATAATTTGATTATTCATTCTCTTCAAGGATATATATGCATAAAGTTTGAGTATAAGATGGCACAAGTCAATCATGTTTTAGAGTTGGCAGATGGCATGCAAAGAAATTTTTTTTTGTCCTTTGGGGATTCATTTTTATCTCTAAAAAAGATCTGAAAGGTTTTTTTGTGGTGGGGATGGTTTTTCTGCTTGGTTTATACATTAGAAATCCAGGTCTCACCAAAAGTCAGTACTTGTGTGCTGAAACAGTCTTTTGCATGTAGATATTGTACCTGTTTGGGTGTCCAATTATCCAATGTCCACATACAAAAGCAGTTACCCAGGAAAATGCTGGATCCTTTTGCTTTCAGTTCCCCACCTGCACTGTTTAAATGCTTGGCCCTGAATGAAGTTTAATTTTTTCCCCTGGGTTCTCTCTACTTACTGGTTGATCACTTTTTATATAACTGCATAGAAGTTTTTCAAGTCAGATAAGGTATGAAACAATACTGAAAACACATTTATTTTTATTTATCAGAGTTTAGAAATATGAATATTTGTTAAATTATGAATAAAGGTAAACTGCTGTCAGGTTTGACAAAGGGATTCCACCACCTTACTACATACAAAGAATACACCATATGTCAGACTCCAAATATCTGTTGAATGATTATTTTCTCATCGTTGATCCTGTGATGTTGATGATGCTGATCCTAAATCAGCAATTGCTTTCAAAGAGTTAACATTTTAGTCCTTCCACAGTGAATACAATGTAGTTTTTGTTAAGTTTCTATATATGGAAAAAATGTCACAAATGTCTAAATCAGAAAAAGGTAACATTGTGAAGCAGTACTGCATGTTTCTCCTTTTCAGGTCTGATTATCTTCCATACGATGTTGTAAATCGACCTCTTCGGGTACAAGAAGAGTATAAACCAAAACCCGGAGAGATTGATTTTGGAACTACATACAGGAGAGATTATAATCTTCATAAAATACAACCAGTGACATTAGTAAGACCATTAGAAAGAAAACAGATTAAGGGAGGAAAATTAGACACCATACCAACCTATCAAGGTAATTACATATGCCATTTTTAAAGAGAGAAACAGCCACAATGATGGTAGTATTCTGAACTGCCATATTGGAGTTGAGGTTTGATTTCTGACTTTGGTCTCTTACTCTGGCCCAATAGGTGACAGTGGTGAAGAGGGAATACCCTATGTTTCTCAGCAATGGATTCTATTAATTTAAGAATTAACATTAATAGGCTTTGAAAGAGAAGCCCTCTCCAGGTTTTCCCAACTGGAAGGAGGGCAGCTGTTAGATTGTGGCAGAAATAGCTGGGAAGGAGAGAGAAACTTTGGGTTCTAATGCTAGTTATAATCTAAGCACATCTACAAGATACATTTGGAGAAAATTGTAACTCCTTTGGTAAGAAAGATTATTAAACAATGTCAAATAGAAACATGTTAATATTATTATGGACGCAATGTGCCAAGAGTCTCGCTTTCCTGCTTTGCTGCTGGACTTAATTGAAGCTTTGGATATCAATAATATTTAGCAATGCTTTTGGAAGAGCTAACATTTGGTACAACTCAGGTGTTTTCAGACTCGGCCTGGTGATGGGCACCTTGTGAATCCTGTTTTTAGAATGGGACTGGAGCTTGCTGAAGGACAATATACCTTATTTTAAGACCATCATTGTCTCCACTATGAGGTCCAAGCATACCTTAGTTTCTATTGTGATGAAGTTCACAATTACTGTTTTTCTACATAGACTGATGAAACAAACTTGATTTCAGATTCGTCTTTACTATATACTTGGTATAGCATTCTGCTGATGACCTGTTTCAACAAGATGATCTTCTGTTACTTATTGATGCAACAGTTCCTAAACAGCCTCCCTGTAGATTATCCTGACAGGTTACTTTGGTATACAAATATTCTTTTACATATGAGATGTTGTACTTAAAATTTGATTGTAGCACATCTGCTCTACAATCAAGATTAAAAATATCTGAATGTGGATTATGAGCTATGACCTATTAGAGCTGCCTGCATGAAAGGCAAGAGATGCTCTGATGGTAAAGACCAAGGACTAGAAGAGAAAGATACTTAAGATGCTGAAGATCAGGCGAGGCCACTCAGAGTAGGAAGTTAGAAGAATCGGGGTAGAGTTGGTAGAAAGCGAAGAGCACGTAGTGGCAAAAGTAGAGGTAGTAGAAAGAATTGGGCAGCACTGGGCCTGAGGGGAAAGAACATCTTTGATAACAATATTATTATTCAACAGCTTCTGTACACTTGTAGTTTAAGATGTCACCAGCATCTGTCACTAAAATTATAGTTCATAATTCAGTCACCTTTTGTTTATATGTATTTCATCCACAGTCCTGAGATAAAATGTAGACTTTTGCAGACATATCCTCTATACAGATATTTGTGTGCAATAGAAAACAGAAATCAAATATGTACATAGAAAATATTTCTTTTTTCTAAAAGAAATAATCATCTTGTGGTACCAGGTGGCATTTTACTGGCTGTTTGGTCTATTCCCATAGTAGCAGGTAAACAGAACTCCTGTATCTAATAGTAAAACAGAATTATCTTTGTTACTCAAACTCAACTCTTTTGATCAAAAGGGTTGGTGGGGGAAGAAATTAGATTTTTTAATATGGGACAGCCACAAATCAATAATAAAATCTATAATCTTTCTTTCTATCAAGTATTGTTTTTGTCTTAAAGATGACTATAGATCATGGGAATTTCAAAGAAGGGAGCCAAATAAATTGGGACACACCTATCATCCCCCTACAGAAAAGTTTGGGAATTCTACTACATTTCAAGATGACTTTGTTCCTAGGGAGCTGAACCCCAGACAAAGCTTTAAGCCTCCAGGTGTGGCCAAACTTTCAGATGTACCTTTTGACGGTGTTACTAATCATCGTAGTTCTTACATCGCTCATCAACTGGAACCAAAATTTGTAAGACCAAAGGAAGAATACAAGCCAAGCAGCCAACCCTTTGAAGATCTGACAACCCATCGGAATGATTTTAAAGGGCTACTTGGAGAGTTTACAAAAAGCTGCAAGCCTGAATACACTAAAGTTGGGTCTAATGCTCACTTTGCTGGATGCACTGAATTCCGGGATCGTTTTCAGCCATGGTCAGTCTCCTTGCCTGAGGCTCGCAAGATAAGAGATTATGTTCCACCTCCAGGTAATATGGATTTACACTCCACAAGCCATCTTGATTATGTTCCACACGTGATCTGTCCTGTTGCCCCCATAAGACCAGTTTCTTATGGAAGAAGAAGTAATGTCCCTTTCCAGGGGAACACCACAATGAAGGAAGACTTTCAAGCTTGGGCCAGCTGTCGGCAAGAAATTATTAGAAGACATCAGGAAATTCCAAAACCTACTGGAAAATTTGATGGCTTGACCACATTCAGGTCTCACTATATACCACATGAGATAATTCCAGTTCAGAGTTTCAAACCTCTACGTGTTGTAGTCCCTAGTTCAGCTCACTTTGAAGATGAAACCATGTATCGTACAGAGTATACTCCAAAGAAACAAGAGATCTGCCCAGCAAACTATCCATCTCCTCCAGGATACGTCTTTGTAGACACAGATTCTCGTGGTCACAAGTTCTTCTGCAGAGTTACTCCAGAAATCAATACATTTTCCCAGTCAAATGGTAATCATATTCCAAAAGAAGTAGCTGTTACTTCATAATTTTTTAATTTTAGTAGTTTACATATTTTAAAAAATGTTTAGAATCCTATAGCTTAATTTTTTTCCAGGCTAAACCTCAATGACAGTTGGCAAGTACAAGTTGTTATTGTAATTTTAAAATTGTTAAATCACTTAAACTCATTATAGCTTTTTTAAAAAAACTGGGAATGACTTTATTACAAGATTGATGAAGATTAGGCAGCCTGAATATGCATCTGAACATTTTGTATGGAATCTGTTCTCCCTAATTATGCATTTTATAATTACTGTGCTTTTCAGTTTTTACTGTCTTCCAGCCCAAGCACATACTGTGTACATTTAAATGAGATTATGACTTGCTGGAAATCATTTTGGAATCACTGAATCTGCCCACACTACTTTTGAAATGTTTTAACATGGCTTCTGTGACCAGTATGGAAAATAATTCCTCCCCCTCTCCCCCCCCAGAAATCTTGATAGCCAAATTGCATTACAAACTAGCCTCGCACGTAGCCTATAACATAATCATAAAATAGACTTCAGAAAACAAATATCCTTTTTATGCTGGTCCAGGAAACTATGCTAGGACACTGCTAACACTAGTCTTTAACTTAGCTATTATTAATACAGTTTCAGCTACTATGGCCAGAGCCTAACGGTGAGATTCTAACTTCTGATGCATGGTACATATTGACCATATAATAAAAAAGATAATCTGCTAACTTTTGCATACAAATGCAATAGCAGATTTTTTTCTGAGACACAAAACAGAGCTGATTTGACTTTGGTCCTTAGTTTCCCAGCTAAAGAATTTTAACATGTTTCAAATAAGTAGACGAAATAAATGGTTTATTAAGATAATGTGTGTGTGCATATAGGAGATGTTAAGCAGTATTTCAAAGTATTATCTCAGTTTCAGTCATCATGTCCAGGATTTACAGTGATCCCTTCTTACAATACTTATTTAACAATATTATGTTGTCTTATCACTTTCAGTATGAGTATCAGTAACTTATAAATATATTATCTTTTACTCATTACTATAGGAAAGCCATTTTAGCTTTGAAGTGTCATGTATTTGTATGTATACCAAATCTCCAATAAAAGGACTGAAATCAAGTACAGTACGATGTTGAAAGCAGGAACTGAATCACATGAGCTCCACTCAGAAAGGCAGAAAAAGAGACCAGGACTGCTGGAAATGCTTGTTTTGTATAACTGTTACACTAGGCTCCCGTTGTTCTTACAAGAGTGGTTGTTTTTAAATGTTCTTGTTTCTCTTTGTGCTATGTCAATTTGCTTTAGTCTAATTGAAAAATCAAGTCAATTAAAATTTTTTTTTAAGTTCATACATGTTTTCCAGTCTGTAAAGAGATATTTTGGATTGGATTTTTCATTAAATGTTTAGGGCTGGACTGGCTTGAGCAAGTAGCACCATACAGCGGGGCAGGGACTGAATTCTGATTTAGTTGCAGTTATGTCCCTGGGAGGTATTTAAGTGCTTTGCTTCCCTGACTGGACACTTCCCTGAATCAGAGTCTGACCACTGAGTCCTTTTCATTTTTATTTAGCAGATCTCAAATTTCTTAGTCCCACTATAGATATATTGTCCTGATATGCATTTTCTTTTCTTGCCTAAATAATTTAAGGAAACTCATATGCTGACTCTACCAGCTACTCACAGATACAAAAATGTAATGATAAATACCGAGGGGAAACAGAAGTGCAAACTCAAATTGGTGTAATAGAGTTTGAAGCAGGTGTATTTGGAGATCAGGTATTTGGGGGGATTTTTTTTTCTCTCTCTCTTATGGCCCTGAATACTGCCTCTAAACTCATTATTTGGAGGATGGAGTGCCTAGGGTGGGGACCCCTACCCATGGGAACCCAAACCCAAGGGCAGGGACCCTACCCATAGGAACCCTAACCTTAGACCCAAGTCCCCTACCCATAGGAACACTAACCCTAGGGCAAGGACCCTTTCCCTTGAGAACCCTAACCATAGCCCCAAGTCTCCTACCCATAGCAACCCTAACCCTAGAGTGGGGACCCCTACCCATAGGAACTCTAACTCTAAGGCAGGGATCCGTACTCAAAGGAACCCTAACCCTAGGGAGGGGACCCCTATCCACAGGAACCCTAACCCTAGCCCCAATTCCCCTACCCATATGAACCTTAAGTCTAGCCCCAAATCCCATACCCATAGGAACCCTAACCCTAAGGTGGGGTACCTACCCTTAGAAACCCTAACCCAAGCCCCAAGTCCCCTGTCCATAGGAACCTTAAGCCTAGCCCCAAATGCCACACCCATAGGAACCCTAACACTATGGTGGGACCTCTACTCATAGCAACCCTAACCCTAGGGTGGGAACCCCTACCCATAGGAACACTAACTCTAGCCCCAAGTCCCCAACCCATAGGAACCATAATCCTAGGGTAGGGACCCCTACCCATAGCAATCTTAACCTTAGGCCCAAGTTCCCGACCCACAGGGATACTAACCCTGGAGCAGGGACCCCTACCCATAGGAACCCTAACCGTAGGGCAGGGACCCCAACCCATAAGAACTCTAAGCCTAGGGCTGGGACCCCTACCCATAGGAACCCTCACTCTAGCCCCAAGTCCCCCACCTATAGAAACCCTAACCTTAGCCCCATTCCCCTACCCATAGAAAGCCTAAGACGGGAACCCCTACTCATAGGAACTTTAACACTAGGGCAGGGACTCCTACCCATAGGAACCCTAACCCTAGGGCTGGGACCCCTATCCATAGGAACCTTAAACCTAGCCCCAAATCCCCTGAAATAGGAACCCTAACCTAGGGTGGGGACTCATACCCATAGAAACCATAACACTAGTGCAGGGACCCCCTACCAATAGGAACTCCCAGTACGATTTGCACCCTCCAGACCTTGTTTCTGCCTACTGCAGACCCCCCCCCCCCACCCCCTAGGCCTCAGCTCACCCCACTGAGTGTAGTCTGAGCCCAGAGAAGAGTGGCAGAGCAGAAGAGAGACTGGACCGTCCCTCTGCACACCAGTGCCCTGACACAAACTGGTAACTGACATGTAAATATAAACATTTTCTGTGATGGGGATGTGATGTTAGATTATGAACTAAATTCTCTGCCTGCTCTCTTCTGGGTGAGGATTTTTATTTTCTTAAAGGTAAAAACAAAATTCAGAATATATTATCTTAATATAGTTGACTTAATATATCAACCACAGTTGCCAGCTTTCACACAGTAAATAAGCACCCCAACTTGCACAATAAGCCAAAAATCAAGTTAATCCCATTTCAAAACAAGGCCAAAACAAGCCAATCCCTAAGAACCCCAACACTCTATGTGACTAGATTCCCCCCCCCCCCCCGACATGCAGTCTGGGACTGTGGGGGGCCTGCTGTGCATTCCTGACTCTCTCCACCCCTTGCCTCTGCTTGCCCCTTGCCCCGGCTTGCCAGGAGCTGATAAAAAAAGAAGCAACAAGCTACACCAAGCAACAAGCTACAAGCCAAAAAACTAGCCAGCAAGCAACTCGCAAGCCAATTAAGCCAAAAACAAGCCCAATTCCTGTGGTTTTTTGCAGGTTTGGCACTTCTGATATCAACATGTTAGTGCCTTGTTTTGTTAATCTTGAGATAGCTGGTATCAAATGTAAATTATATTATCCTATAGTTTTTACATCAATTTTGTCATGGCTTACTAATACTCTGCTAAACATGGCAAATGGTGAAACTGTAAGCATGCAGGTTTATGTTTGATGTGCTCGCTGCAGCAGTTTGTGCTGTTCCCAGGGGGGTGCTAATTAAACCAATGCAAATTTACAGAGATGGCCTTGCAGAATTGGATGTTACACAAACTGGGCAAAATACCTACGTTAACTGTAGCTCCCCTGAAAACAGAAAAATTGTAATTAAGCATCCACCTTGGGTTTATGCAAATACTATGGCACAGATCAGATCAAATCAAACAATAAAATCTCACCATCATTTTCACTACGCTAGCAGGCTCTAATTTAATTATAAGTCAATGGGGAGATTAAGTGAACTCAGGAAAAACTCAGTACAGTTGTACATTGAAATAGAAAGAATAGGAAAGGGGAATATTAAAAGGCTGTGAGTGTGCTAACCAGGGGTAGTCAATAGGCAGACCGCGAGCCAAATCCAGACTGCCAGACGCTTTTGAACAGACCCCGAAATCTTTTTATTTACTTATCATTATCATTATTGTTTTTTATTATTTTCTCTGGTGTCTGGATCTCCACTATACCTTGACCAAGAAATGTGGCCCTTGACAAAAAACAATTGACTACCCTGGTGCTAACTGTGCTCCTTTTCTGAGCCAGAGCCCAACCGCTGTGCCCCAACTGGGCAGGTGGGCAGGCTCCGCATCAGCTCTTCCCAGCCAGGCTCTGCAGGCAGCAGGAGAGTCCCGGGAGAGAGGGGAGTGAGCAAGGTGGGAAGTGGAAAGCGAGGGACAGAGGGAGGGGGCACAGGAGTGAGCAGGGGTGGGGCCTCAGGGGAAGACGCAGGGCCCCAGGGAAGGGATGGGGCAGGGGGTGGGGCAAGGCTGTTTGGTTTTCAGCAATTAGAAAATTGGCAACCCTTTGCCTTTCTGATGTTACTGTTGAAAATACTGGAGGTGATGCTTCTAAGAATAACAACATCAAAAGCACAGCAGCCCAACAGTGCTGTAGGTAGTTTTGGTATTATCAAGATTCCTACAGCAACAGACATTTTCAAGTTTTTATGTCAATTCTTCTCCAAACAAAGTGGTATTAAAAATGTCAGAATAAATAGGTTGGAATACTAATATTCCCAGTGAAATATCCTTCTTGACCATTAAAATGAAGATTTTATGGTGCCCCAGTATTCAAAGATGAAAAAGTAGAAAAATTACTGAAACAGGCTCAATCACAATTCTAAAAGACATTTTATACACCATGCCACCAAAATGGTCTGTATAATGGTTATGCAGAATTCCTTATCTCTAAAGGCTAGTCAGAAAAAGAGCTGGTTGGTGGCACATAAACGATACTGAAAATAGGATTCCATGTATAATATTTCATTATTAACATCTAGGATTACTCTTCAAACACAATTATTTCCTCAGCAGGGAAGAGCGGAAGGGCTGTACTCCACATTTACATGCAATCCTGGTTCAGTGCTCAGTGCAACTTATGACAGCCCCAGGCGTGTTCTAATTCACACCCATCTGCAATGGCGTCCAAGGAGCTGTTTCAGCAGCTGGGGTTGCTAGTGCACAGCAGCATTTTGGCTATCTCCTCCCCTCTACCACCCACACATATTCCATATGCCGGGAGTTACAAGGTGTGAATGAGAGAAAGAGTGAGAGTGTATTATAAAGCTGCTCACAAGAATTTGTTAGTACTGGAAGAATCTCCTACCTATGTAAGGCAGTTTTAAGTCTGCATCACATCTCTAGAGCAGTGTCACGCAAACTGTAGTGGGGCTGAAGATCTGGTCCAGAAACCAGCAAAATTAGAGAAATACTGCTGTTTTTGAGAAGTTAAAAATAGGGAAGGAACAGAATGGTAACATAACACTGGTAACAGCAACATATCCTACCTTCTATGAAAATGACTTAATAAACAATCTCTGTATAATAGTGCAGATGAATAACTAAAGTAGAGTTTATTTCAGAAATATCAATGAAAAATAAATGTTAGCCATCTTTGGTTACTGGAGAAGCAGTAAAAATAACCTAGAGGAATGTCATGCCAATTGCAATAACAATCATTTACAGCACTGCCTCCAAATAGCATGCATACTTAACCAAAGATAAAATAAAAAAAGCAAAGGAGTGCTATGTGTTAACATTTAAAAACTTTAAATACAAAGAAAAAACATGAATAAGAAATTTTGGTAATAAGAAAAATATATGTCTCAAAATCTTTATTACACACTGTACAAAACAAAATATTGCACTTTAAAATCAAACAATAAATATATACAAAAGTATTTTACAAGTGTTTTCTTTTAATTTAAAAAACTGCTTAAGCAATCAAGACCCATTATTGATTAAAAAGGTAATGATCAGGAATATCCTCCCTTTGCAGTCAGCTAGGGAACTGCCCACTTTAAACACTTTCTATACAGTAGTGCTAGTCTAATTTTCAGTGATGCAAACCCATGGTATAGGAATACTGTTTCTAAAATTGTTCTTACAGCATGCCTACTAATCACAATTCAATGCAGTCTAATAATCTACTAACGCAGGCTCCAATTCAAGATATGCATTCAGGCTTCCAATTTGTGCAACAGTTGGAAGCTGCAAAAGAAAAAAAATGCCATCTTCAGCCTTGTGCAGGCTTCTCTGGGGTAAAGC